TGTCATTCAGCCATTTATTGTCCCACAGTAAGCGAATCTCCTCGACCTTTAAGGCAATACCAAACTTCGTGATGACGTCGGCGTCGTCGTTTTTCTCTAACAAAGCCTGAAATGTCACGAAAAAAATATTAAATTTTTTGCCAAGTTTGCATTTAAAATAAAGCCACGCTTCTCGGTATGTAGTACCACAATTGGGTCTGGAGGTGGAGGGGGGGTGTAGTCTGTGAGCACCGCCAGCGCCGCGGCAGCCGCCTCTGTCTCGGTCCGGGTGATATCCCTTGATGGTATCACTCCCCACAGCGCCGGATTGGATTCGATATTCTGTAGACACCAATCAGACATTTTGATGAGAATGAGTTTGACCCTAGCTTTTAAATGTCGAAGTGATTATAGACACGCAGCGTTTATATAATAAAAAGCAACTTAAATACACGCGGCGTGCAAATAACGCCATTTTCATTATATACACGCAGGAAAAGCTTTTCCAGCGTGTATATAATAAAAACAGCCGTTTTTTGCACGCAGCGTGTCTGCAAGCCCCCTAAAATTATTTGCACGCTGGAAAAGCTTTTCCGGCGTGTGTATAATAAAGGAGTGTGTTATTTTTACGCAGCGTGTTTGCAACTCCCTATTTTATTATTTGCACTCTTGTTTTGAGGCCAGCTAGGAGATAGAGATGCCTAGGAGGAAGCCGACCGGGTGTGTCGCCTCGTGGTCGAGTGGGTGCGTGCCTGCATGCCACTTTTTTGGCCCGGGTTCGAAACTTGGATAATTTTTTCAAAGGATGCGTGCACATAATTTTTCGGCGACACGCGACACGCAGCGTCTGCACAACCGACGATCTATTATTCATACGCCGCGTGTCCCTTGAATGCCGAAAAATTATGTGCACGCATCTTTTGAAAAAATTCTCCAAGTTTCGAACCCTTGCCAAAAGAGTGGCATGCAGGCACGTATCCACTGGACCACGAGGCGACACACCCAGTCGGCTTCCTCCTAGGCATCTCTATCTCCTGGCTGGCCTCAAAACAGGAGTGCAAATAATAATATAGGGAGTTGCAAACACGCTGCGTAAAAATAACACCCTCCTTTATTATTGACACACCGGAAAAGCTTTTCCAGCGTTGGAAGAGATTTTCCAGCGTGCAAATAATTTAAGAGCGCTTGCAGACACGCTGCGTGATGGAAACAGCTGCTTTTATTATGTACACGCTGGAAAAGCCTTTCCGGCGTGGAAAGGCCCTTCCGGCGTGTACATAATACTTTTGTGATTTCAGACACGCTGCGTGTGTTGTTCTAATGTATATATTATTGCCACGCGGCGTTTAAATAATTTTTACCATTGTTGCGTACACGCTGCGTGTATATAATATCGGCCTTTAAATGTTGGGTGTGGTTTTGCTTGATTGAAATACGAAAAAAGTAATCTGCGCCTCGAGCAAGTTCCTTGGAAATCAATTGATGGTTAACCATTGCTTATTCAGGGTCAGGGCGCACTCTGGGAAAAAATCACAGTAAATCCTGTAGTGATAAGTACAGCTGTCACTGTTGTTCAGAGTACAGGATTTACTGTACTTTTTTGACAAGATCTACTGTACTTTGTATGGGATTTACTGTACCACAGGAGTGGAGTACGGAATATCCTGTACCAGGTACAGTAAATACTGTAGCCAGGCACAGTAGATCCTGTGTTCTAAACTACAGTAAATCCCGGCAAAAAAATTAACAGGATTCACTGTGGTTTTTTCGCACAGTGCGGGGAAGAACTGAACGCCCCGCCCCATATTATACTTCAAATACAATAAGCATAAGCATAACAACAATCAAAAGTTGTTCCGTGGCATCAGCGGTTCATTACATGATACAAGTTGCATACGGCATTTGAAGTAAAATAAGTGGTGTTCAGTTCTTCCCCTGTCCAGTTTCTCCCCGCACTGACCCTAATGACCCTATTTGCGTTGTCAAAATTTTAATTTCTCTATTATTTTTAAACTGAATAGTGCACATTGCACACTCCACCTGGAGCGTACGTGAATGCTCACCGTTCCTATGAGTGCGCCTCGCAGAATGTCCCGGTCACAGCGATGCCGCGCGGCCCGCACCCCTCGCTCTGTCTCTCGCGCCCTCATGGAGTGTGCCGTAGGGGTGTGAGAGAGACAGAGCGAGGATTGCAGGCGCTTCAATGAACGCACACTTAATATTTTTGTACAAATTTTGTACGAGACAATCACAGTTTTTTCTGCGCACGAAATTTTCGTACAAACATGTACCTAGTTTTGCACAAAATTGGTGAAAACGTGCAGTTTTTCGTACAAAATTTTTACGAAAAGTTCGTGTGCACAAAAAACTTTGATGTCTCGTACAAAATTGTACATAACATTTAGTGTGCATGCACACTGTTCAGTTTATGGAGTTGTGAGACGGAAACTTACCTGGCTGTCAATATTTGGTGTGGGAACCAGGGGCTCGACCCCAGCAAATTTCTTTGGGGGTGCCTGAAACAATGATACATGGCAATTAACATTTTATCCGATTTTATCTGGTGGCTAGCCGCCCGAATCGCAAGCCCTGCTCCTTATTGATTCCAACTTCCTAGGCCACGTTTCACTCGAAAGACTCAAAAGTCCCAAATTTACGACTCTTGTTAAAAGATTGGAATCTCGGTCGCCGCATTCAGCGGCTCGACATCGAGATTTCGAGTTGGCATCGTCGATGCGCGTCGCCACCGTTTCCACACACTAAATGGTATATACAATTTTGTACGAGACATCACAGTTTTTTGTGCACACGAACTTTTCGTACAAATTTTGTCGCAAAAACTGCACCTATTTACCCATCTTTGTGCAAAATCGCATAGAAATATGTAGGAAAATTTCGTGTGCTCAAAAAAACTGTGATGACTCGTAGAAAAAAGGATTTAGTGTGCAGTACTGTATGTGCATTCCCTCGATCGCTGGCGGCCCCGCGGGTTGGAGTCTCTACGCATGCAGGCGTCCCCAGCATAGTAGACTAATTCAGAGAGTCGTTTCCGTTGCTCTGCTTCTCTCGCACTCATATGGGAAGTTCGTTATGCGTGTGACAAAGACAGCGACGAAAACCACTCTCGGAATCAGTCTGCTGACTGCCTCAGCGCGATTCAATCCCTTTCTTGCCCCGGGTCGGTTCACTAGGTTCAAATCGGATTCATCCCTACCGTCGCTCTGTCTCTCTCGCCCTTCTTGGGCGCTGCATGGCTCCGTAAGGTGCGAGAGGGACACCGCAAACGCTGTGTGAATAATCAGTCTGCTACCGAGTGTGTTTGGCCGCATTCTGTCTCTCTCGCACTTGTGGGGCGTCCCGCACAACAACAAGAGAGACAGGGCGGTGAAGTGCTGTTCGTAACCAGCCTAAGTTATAAAGTCGGGCGCTATGGCAGGCCACGCCAGGCGAGTGCCTTCAGTCTCTAGATAGCCAAGCATAACACGGTAAAAACTCTACAAAGAATCGCTTCGTAATACTACGAAGAAAATGAAGGCATTGTAAAAACTACGTGGAAATGCTTCGTGTTATGAAGCAAAATCCCTCGTAATACGAAGCATTTCTTCATAATACGAAGCAATTCTACAATGCCTTCAGTTTCTTTGTAGTTTTGAAGCAAATGCTTCGGAGGCGTTTAAGAGTGCACAGTATAACACACACAGATTTTGTGTGCAGGAATGCGTAGGAATGAGTATGTCAACAGTTACCTCTTCTGGATCATCCTCGTCCTCTGATCCCTCCTCCCCGGCGTCGTCCTGAAATTGCATCGGGCCGGCCCCGGAGCGTACCAGCTCCTCGTAGGCCGCCAGAACCAAGTCGTCGGTGTGGCGGCAGCAGTTCCCCCACACCTCCGGCGTAATGGAATCGCAGGCCTCCCGCCACGCTTTCTCAGCGATCGCCGCTCGGCCTGGAGGGTCAAAGTCATAGTAAGAATTAAAGCAGAGTTGACACTGGGAATCCGGGAATGTGACGTCACGTTCGTTTAAACGTGAATCGTGTCACGTTGGTTTGAATATTGTGTCACATGTCACATACGTTTGAACGTGAATCCAGCCTCGTCTAGGCTCGGGACCAGCCGAATCGCGTTCAAACGAATGTGACACAGTATTCAAACGAACGTGACACGATTCACGTCTGAACGAACGTGACGTCACATTCTCTGCTTCTCAGTGGATTTATTGCATGTTTGACTACAAGTTGACTGCGGAGGAACAATGACGCGCATGCCTACCTGCCCTATCACTAGGTAGAGTTACTGCCATTATCCGCTTCTCATACTCATTTTTGACAACCTTCCACACCAGCTCGATAGGGTTCCATATGGAATGGTAGGGTGGTAGAAACAACAAACGATGTCCTGTGCCATCCATTAGAGCCCTCAGCATGTAACGGGGAGCTGTTTTGTGCATTTTGCAGAGGTCATACAACTTGGCATTGGTCATGCCTTCTGCAAAATGCACTCCTTGAGTTCTTAGCCAATCTTGTAGTTGATCTTTGTTCCAGCCGGACGTTGGCTGTTTCTCTTCCTGTAATAAATGTTGGAACTAAATTAAATATCCAGATTTACTCTGAAATTCCAAACGCTATGAATATAGCACGTATGGTGCACTGTAAAAAATTCCGTACTTTTGTACGGAAGTGGTACAGAAAAATGTAGTACGGAGGTACGGAACGTTCCGTACCTGCTCCATATGAACCCATGTAAATGGGTACGGAAAAAAAGTACGGAACGGAACGGACGGTTCAGGCAAATTATTGACCAGACATGTTCCGTACTTTTTCCGTACCTTTTTCTCACAGTGTGCGGTTCAGTGAGATATCGCATCATACTTACGCACTGGTAGCGCGTACGACCGGCGAGGTGTATGTTGCTGTGTGTGTGTGAGTGACCATGACTCTGTGTGTGTGGTGTGTGTGTGTGTGTGTGTGTGTGTGGTAGAGAGAGAGAGAGAAGAGAGAGAACACAGTGTGTGTCAAACATTTCAGTTTTTTACCTGCATGCGGTGATATGACGCGTTATCCATGATGAGGAGAGACGGCTCAGTCATATTTGGTAATATATCTTCCCGGAAGTGTCTGAGGAACTCGTCTCTGTTCATAGACTTATGATAGTCCTCCTAAATTAACAGTAAGAATCAAAGTTACGCAAATCAGTTAACGAAGGCATTTTACGATTTAAGGGATTCGCATCCCTGGAGTGCTCCCACTGCAAATGCAAAGGCGAGACTTGAGTACTTTGGCGATACAATTGAGTATCGCCAATAAATGGCCTTACGGAAAAGTATTGCTTTCAGAACAGCGACACACAGAAGTATCGCCAAATTTTGGTAATACTTTTGTGTTTTGCCGTTCTGAAGGCAATACTTTTCCGTAAGGACGTTTTCTGGCGATACTCAATTGTATCGCCAAAAAAGGTACTAAAAGTATTGCCTTTGTATTTACAGTGCCAAAACCATTACTTTCCAGCCCTTGTTTTGTGCTCACTAAATGTTATGTGCAATTTTGTACGAGACATTCAGCTTTTTTTGCATACGAAATTTTCGTACAATTTTCGTACAAAAACGGCAAATTTTCTGCCAATTTTGTACAAAAACGTACAAAATTCTGTACAAATTTTTACCAAAAGTTCGTGTGCACTAAAAACTGTGATGTCTCGTACAAAATATGTACCAAAAAAAAATTAGTGTGTAGTTACTTTTAAGGTTTTTTTAAGTACTATCGCCCTTATTGCTATAATTCATTAGAAAAAATATTTTGGGAGTAAAATAACTACAAAACAAGGGTTGTTAAATAATGGTTTTGGAGCCCTCCAGGGTTGCAACCCCCTTTAACTTAGTTCGAAAATCCTACCTTGCTGTCCTTGTGAGGCGCAAGAAACATCAGGGCCCCTTCGACCCAGCCCTTCCGGCCTCCCACATGACTTATAGTGGAGCGGTCTCCCAGGCTGGTGGTGCGGCGGCTAAAACTCCGAACATCTTTATTGATCCAGCCGCGCACCCGCTGCCCGGTGCCGCCCATATATACCCAGGTCTCATCCTGGTATTTCTCATCAAGTTTGTCCGGTGATATATAGTTTGCATGAAATCTTAGTAGGTATTGCGTCCTAAGTAGTTGTATCCTGGGGTTCTCTCGTATATAGTATGTGCCATTGTCGAGCACATAATTGAAACCAAGTTTATAGAGTAGGCGGCGCAAGGACTCGGTACCTCCTTTGAACAGAACATCTCCCGTTCTCCTGTGCGTCACAGTCCTGTAAAAAAAAATACGATTTCAAGAAATCCTAGGAGAGCTGGCTGCACTGTGAGATTGGTTGCCTATGGCGGCGCTCGACGCTCGACGAGCGAGCACATCTTGCATCTCTCTCGCACTCAAGGCGGCTAAAATGGGTTAGACGAGGATGGCTGCCCCAGGCATGGGCGGTAAAGTAAAGTAAAGTACCGCGGTACTGGTACCGCGGTACTTTTTTGGGTAAAGTACCGGTACCGCGGTACCAATGTCGCGAAAAGGACCGGTAAAGTACCGCGGTACCGATTCCCGAGTAAAGTAACGCACAGTACCGAGTCGGTCCTTTTCCCTTTGGAGAGTAGAGAAAAGAGCGAGAAAAATGGATTAGCCGTGGCCGTCGCCTTGTCCTATCTCGCCTGCATACTTGTTTGTCCGTCTGTCTTTATTGTTTCTTTGAGTTCCCGCAGTCCTCCTCGGGGTCCCGGAAAGGGCCGGTGCAGAGAAGGGGGGAGGGGAGGAGTGGTGCGGGGAGCCGATGGCCACCACGTGCGGATTCCGAAAGGGTCTCCTCGTTGCCCTGTCTCTCTCGCACCCCCCATGTGACGCCCCGTGAGCGCGAGAGAGACAGGGAGACAAAACAGACCCTCGGAATCAGGTAGCAGGCCTGTGCAGGTCACCGGCCCTGCCGGCGGCCGCCGGGGTGCGCTATGAATGACGCGCAATAAACATGCCCTTCGTCGCCGCTCAGAAAGAACTGGAGACCAATAAATGGCAATGTTGGCGTTCGCGTGGCGGACACTTCTGTTGCCGTTCCGGCACTTTTACTTGATCTGAAATTTATCTTCGATTTTCTAATTATTTTTTTTAAAGTACCGCGTCAAGTACCGTCGGTACTTTTGAAAGTACCGGTAAAGTACCGCGGTACTGAAAATTTCCATAGTACCGGTTAAGTACCGCGGTACCGTGCTTATCGATAGTACCGGTAAAGTACCGCGGTACCAATTTCAGAGTACCGTGCCCATGTCTGGGCTGCCCAAGCCATCCTATGGGGTTGCACCAGGACATGCAACCGCCTTGTGTTTCGGAAAACATTGGTTAACCGCCGTCTTGCACCCTTTGGAACGGCCCCGCCCCACCCCACCCCACCCACCCCGCCCCCACCCACCCCGCCCCACCCCACCCCACCCCACCCCACCCCGCCCCACCCCACCCCACCCCAGGTTGGGAACCGCTGGAGTAGGCACACTGTAGAGTTTGCAGAGTAGAGCGTTTGGATTCTCAGTACTTATTGCATCCCCATTTACCTCAAGTGTTCCTTCAAAACTCGGAGGGTCAAATGTTTCTCTGCAAACATTAGAACATGAATTAAAGATTCAGTTATAAATATCATATTTAATATGCATCGGAAACTTGTCATACTCACTGGATCTCTTGAAGTCGTAGATCACTTCCATGATCTGATTTTTTGCCTCATCGTCGGGCTCTGTAATGAGACTCCTCCTTGGCCTCGACTTCCCTGGCGTCTCAAAACTGACTTGCTGGTTGGACAGTCTGATGTATTTTTGCAGCGACGCATGTGAAATTCGAAGAGCCTCTGTCGTACGTAAACTGTAACAAAGAAGGTCGAACATTACATTTCTGCACTCTTAAAACCTTACGAAGTATTTTGAGCATACATATAACAAACTAAAATACTTTGTTATACGAAGAAATAGTTCGTAAATTACAAAGTATTTTCTTTGTAAGCTTATGTATGCTCAAAATACTTTGTTATACAAACTACTTTTCTTTGTAAGGCCCAGAATAGTTTGTAAGGTTTTCTCAGTGTGAACAGTGAGTGCCATGCGCGCGGGGAAAATTCCCCCTCATATGCCCCCGTCCCGGACGGCACGCCGTGCGGCACATCAAGTCCATCGCGCGGTACAACTACAACACGGACCACGCGCCAGTGTCGGCCCAGGTCACCTTCCGAGCGAGACGTGGGTGCTGAACGCCAAACACCACACACTAAATGTTATGTACAATTTTGTACGAGACATCACAGTTTTTTGTGCACACGAAATTTTCGTACAATTTTCGTACGAAAAACTGCACATTTTTCGCCAGTTTTGTACAAAATTGTACAAAATTTTGTACAAATTTGTACGAAAAGTTCGTGTGCACAAAAAACTGTGATGTCTCGTACAAAATTTGTACAAAAATATTTAGTGTGTTCAGATTCGCGAGCTGTTTGCCGTTGCTCATAACGGCGGGCCGCACGTCGTGCAGCGCGGGAGCAGGAAGTGAGGCTTACCCTCCACCGGACTCTTTGCCCCGCCCCGTCCCGCCCCGCCACGTCGACACAAGGCCGGCCGCGCGCCATCGATGAGGCGGCGAGTCCAGCCGCCCCCGCGCGGAGGGGCCGGCACACCACTGGGTAAATTGATCTGTCTCCGGCCCGCCACGCCCCCCCCCCCTTTTATCTCCAGTGGCTCCCAAGGGCCCAAGTAAGAATGAGTCTGAAAGACCCCACTAGACTAGCGGCGCGGCGTGAATGGGAACCGCCTGACCTGCATCCTGCATCACGTGAGCCGCCAAGGCTGGAATGGGGCGGCGAGACTCCACGCCCATTGGCTGGCGACCTGGCACAGTGTCGCCAGGGCGAAAATTCCTACGATGCATCAGTGCCAAAAGGGTTGCCAAGCTCTGCCTGCCCACTAGGAAATACTTTGGCCCTGCCCTCGAGGAGTTGGCAGGCTGAGGTTGGCGACCCTTTCATAACTGCACTGTAAAAAATTCCGTACTTTTGTACGGAAATGGTACAGAAAAATATAGTACGGAGGTACGGAGAAAAGTACGGAACGTTCCGTACTAGCTCCATATAAACCCATGTAAATAGGTACGGAAAATAGGTACGGAACGTTCCGTAGTTTGGAAGTACGGACGGTCCAGGCAAATTATTGACCAGACATGTTCCGTACTTTTTCCGTACTTTTTTCTCACAGTGTGTTCAATGTGCGAGTATTTTTTTCCCTTCCTATGTGACAACCCTGCCTGCCGTGCCTTGCGTAAGGATGGTCTCTTGCGCGTGACGTAGTCCGCAGGCTCAATCCGACCAGACCAGGGGGGCGTCGCTCTGTCTTCGTCGCGCCCTGATGGGGCTGACGGGGCGCCGCGTGAGAGCGAGAGAGACAGAGCGATGACAGCACTCGGCGGCCAGGCGACGAGACTGCCGCGTCGGTGAGAAAAGTACACGGAGATAAGTGCCGTCTGTTCGGAAATAGGAAAAACAGGAAAAATAGGGAAAACAAACCACCCCGCCGCAGTCCTAATTTACCATCTCGCGAGAAGTTTGCGGACTCGATCGTCCCGGTCGCAAAGAAACTAAAACGAAAACCGTTTCCTGTCTCCGTTTCCCAGCGTGCGTTCGCTGCAGAGAGAGCAGGCGGAAAAGGCACTGTGAGCGACATGAAGTTGCAGCGGCGGCGGTGTGTTCCTTCCCGCGACACCGCGGCACTGTGCGAAAAAACCACAGTGAATCCCGTTAATTTTTTGCCGGGATTTACTGTAGTTCAGAACACAGGATTTACCGTGCCTGGCTACAGTATCTACTGTACCTGGTACAGGATATTCCGTACTCCACTCCTGTGGTACAGTAAATCCCGTACAACGTACAGTAGATCCTGTTAAAAAAGTACAGTAAATCCTGTACTCTGAGCTACAGTGATAGCTGTACTAATCACTACAGGATTTACTGTGATTTTTCCCACAGTGGGGGCGATCTAAGGTGAGCCACAACGTTTCGCCGGTCGAGTCGCGCAAGTGGCGCGTAACGGCGCCTGATTTATGGGCTGCCCTCGCTACTTACACCGTAATGCGCGGTGTCCGGCGAGTCCGATGACGAGTGTGATGCGAATGGAAAGCGCCAGCAGTCTGATTCCGAGAGTCGTTTTCGTCGCTCTGTCTCTCTCCCACCTATACGGGACGCCCCATAAGTGCGAGAGAGACAGCGCGACGAAAACGACTCTCGGAATCAGTCCACAGCGGCTCGGATCAACGTCGCCGTGGGCACGCGTGCGGGCGGGTTTCGAGCTGTACTCTGGTTGAACAACAGTCCAACGAAGGAGTTCTCTCCAAGCGCGTTGCCTACGCGTCTCCTAGCAGCCCTATCCTTCCGTTCTAAATGCTTGGTGGACTTCCCTCAGTACGCTGCAGGCGTGAGGGTGGAGTGAAGCGTGACGTGTGTCAGACCGCCTGCGAGACAGAGGGTAGGCAACCCCGAACGGCCTCGCGTTTGGCGGGCTGGCCTACCCTGCACTTCACAGGCGCTCCACCGAGTCGTTGTGTCGCTGTCTCTGTCGCACTCACATAAGTGCGAGGGGGCAGCGCCACGAACCGACTCTTTCGAACGGCGGTAGGCAACAGTGCGGGCTTTGGCCGCTTGAGCCGCTTGGGCGGTGGCGGCCGGCCAGGTGTCGGGTGTCTCCTTGCCGTGTGTACTGCGTCCTGGCCGGCGCGCTGCCCGCGGCAAGTCGCGGGGACCGAAAACAACGTGCTTCGAAGGGTCGCCAAGTCGGTCTACAAGCGGCGGATCGGCAAGAAGGTGTGGCGTACCAACAAGGAGGTCCGCGACATCACCGAGGTGCCACCCATCCTCAACTTCCATCGCTACCGGCGCGCCCAGTACGCCATGCACCGAGGGGGTAAACACTTCAAGAAATCGTGTACAGACTACTCGGTATTACGCTGTATTACGGGTGTATTACACGTGTATTACGGCCCTAAAATGCCCAAATTTGGCACATTTGACCCAAAAATGTTATTACGATCACGTGTATTACGCGTAATACACGGTTTTTGTGTACAGGGTATTACGCGAGTGGTTACCCCCTCGCCATGCACGTGGAGCGTGGCTCCGCGCCGCTGGCTACCCGGGCTGCCCAGCGCGCGTCGTCTCCGCGGAGGAGGCCCCGTGGCCGCACGAGGGATCGCCGCATGGACGCCGTCGTCAACGACATCGCAACTCTCGGCGTCCACAACTGGAGGGACGCCGCGATGGACCGGGACGCCTGGGCAGCTGCCTCCGTCGCCATCCTGAGGCAGCCGGACCCCCACGAGGAGCGCCGCGACGAGGCGAAAGCGAGGAAGCGCCGACGGACGGGTCAGCCGGACGCAGCGTAATGGTGAGCCGAACTGTTTCCAGCCTCACCTCGAGTCTGCCTGCACTGAAAATCTATCGGCGTGACTTCGTGCCGCTGCAGGGGCGTGAATTAAGTGTCACGCCATTAAACGGCATGACAGAAAAGTCACGCCAAAAATCGGCGTGACTGAAAAATTCACGCCCTTTGAAATATTTGGAGGGGGCACCGCGTTATGTTTCGGCTCCGGCTACGAACATAGGGAAGGAGCGTGTTTAAAATCCTGGTTTTAAAACGATTTTTAATATTAATTAAATGTGACTGGCACAGCACTGCACTGATCGCATGGTCGCCGCGGTGCTTCGCGCATCGCAGGTTGATGGCATCACCGCAGAGGTGCGCGGCAAGCGGCGCAAGCGGCAACGGCAAGCACCCACAATATGCCCGTACGGGTGCGAGAGAGACAGACCGACGAGAGCATTGCTCGGAATCAGTCTGCTGCTGCACTGAGACACACCCCTAAATCAAGGCAAGCCTGGTGGGCAAGCCTTGCAAGGACGCCCTGCCGCCCTGCCAGTGTACCGGAGTCTCCAGGCTGACGTCCCACGGTGGGCTAGAAAAGTGGCGCTGGCGGCCAAAACTCTAGACGCGTTTTGACCTCCAGAGTCGCTAAATGGGTCTCGAACCGAGCGTGTGACCCCACCAATGGATTGCTCTCCGAACGAAGAATCGATATTGGTGGGGTCACACGTTCGGTTCCAGTCGTATTCAGGGACTCTGGAGCTCAAAACGCGTCTTGAGTTTTGGCCGCTTGCACCGCTATTCTGGCCCACTGTGCGTCCCAGGGCTGTGGAGTCTCCTGAACGCCCGGAGGCGTGGCCGTCATTTCCATAGGGATACGCCGCCGCCGCGCAGAGTGGATCTCGGCCCCGACGAGAGCCCCGCCATGGCAGCGAGAGCCTCTGAGAGGTTCGCAACTCGGCGGTCGGCCGTGCGTTGTGGCCTTGCCTATGTCAGTGTCGCAGGCGCTCCAGCCAGGCGCCCAGGGTAGGCAACGCGCCGCGACCGCGAGCGTTGCGGGCTTGCCTACGCCAGTGTCGCAGGCGCTCTAGAGGCCGCAGGGCTCTAGTGTAGCGTTTCTGTGCAGTGGTGCCGTTTAGGGTATACGCGGTCATACGCCGTATGACCTATAAATGAAATCAAGGGTATCGTATAACCTATAATTTTTTGGAGGTCATACGCAGGTATACGCGTATAACCTCGCTGAAATGGCGATATTTGCCCGGCGGACCAGCCGAAAAGTGCCATTGTCGGGGTTTCCCAGGGTGCGGGGCCAGCTGGGGCGACGCAGGGCGACGCGGGAAACTCCCGGGCGGCCCGGCATTATTGGAGTCTATGTAGCTTGACCCACCCCAAAGTTGACCTACCTATATATTAATTAATAAAAATATTAATATAAATATTAGAATATAAATATGGGAATATAAATAGGAGTAATATAAATATTACCAAAAAAAGTTGACCCACCCCACAGTTGACCTACCCTATATTTTTGACTTGACCGACGAAGCGCGACGGCCTCGCGGCAGGGGAAGCGCGACAGTGTCGCGGCAGGGGAAGCGCGAAAGTGTCGCGGCAGGGGAAGCGCGACGGCATCGCAGCAGGGGAAGCGCGACGGCCTCGCGGCAAGGGAAGCGCGACAGTGTCGCGGCAGGGGAAGCGCGACAGTGTCGCGGCAGGGGAAGCGCGACAGTGTCGCGACAAAGGAAGCGCGACAGTGTCGCGGCAGGGGAAGCGCGACAGTGTCGCGGCAGGGGAAGCGCGACAGTGTCGCGGCAAAGGAAGCGCGACAGTGTCGCGGCAGGGGAAGCGCGCCAGTGTCGCGGCAGGGGAAGCACGACAGTGTCGCGGCAGGGGAAGCGCGACAGTGTCGCGGCAGGGGAAGCGCGACGGCCTCGCAGCAGGGGAAGCGCGACAATGTCGCGGCAAAGGAAGCGCGACAGTGTCGCGGCAGGGGAAGCGCGACAGTGTCGCGGCAGGGGAAGCGCGACGGCCTCGCGGCCAGGGCCCCCGGAAGTACTTTCTGGTGGGGGGGGGGCGAAATTTTTATGAAAAATGGTTGGGTTGCCTACCGTTAAGGGGCAACACCCAATACGGTTTAGACTTCTCTAATAGTGTTCCAAATCCAGCAAACGAAGCGAGCTTAAAGCGAAAATTCACACAATACTAGACTTCAACACAACTTTTGCCATTTTTAGAGCTTAATCACACGCTTTATTGGTGGGCGAAGCGAGCCAAACGGCAAAATAATGGAGGAAAACTAAGAAAACCTGCGAGCGAAGCGAGCAAGAAGCCAAAAATCAAAGAATTTGCGACTTTGCTATATTTTTCCCTCTATTTTGAGCTCAAAATGGCACTTTAGTGTCTGAAAGTGGGGGGGGGGCCGCGCTGCCAAACAGCGAGGCTGTGCCAGCGTCAAACAGCGAGGCTGTGCCAGCGTCAAACAGCGAGGCCGTGCCAGCGTCAAACAGCGAGGCTGTGCCAGCGTCAAACAGCGAGGCTGTGCCAGCGTCAAACAGCGAGGCTGTGCCAGCGTCAAACAGCGAGGCTGTGCCAGCCTCACACAGCGAGCCTGTGCCAGCGTCAAACAGCGAGGCTGTGCCAGCGTCAAACAGCGAGGCTGTGCCAGCGTCAAACAGCGAGGCTGTGCCAGCGTCAAACAGCGAGGCTGTGCCAGCGTCAAACAGCGAGGCTGTGCCAGCGTCAAACAGCGAGGCTGTGCCAGCGTCAAACAGCGAGGCTGTGCCAGCGTCAAACAGCGAGGCTGTGCCAGCCTCACACTGCGAGGCTGTGCCAGCCCAACACAGCGAGGCTGTGCCAGCGTCAAACAGCGAGGCTGTGCCAGCGTCAAACAGCGAGGCTGTGCCAGCGTCAAACAGCGAGGCTGTGCCAGCGTCAAACAGCGAGGCTGTGCCAGCGTCAAACAGCGAGGCTGTGCCAGCCTCAAACAGCGAGGCTGTGCCAGCGTCAAACAGCGAGGCTGTGCCAGCGTCAAACAGCGAGGCTGTGCCAGCCTCACACAGCGAGGCTGTGCCAGCGTCAAACAGCGAGGCTGTGCCAGCGTCAAACTGCGAGCCTGTGCCAGCCTCACACAGCGAGGCTGTGCCAGCGTTAAACAGCGAGGCTGTGCCAGCCTCACACAGCGAGGCTCTGCCAGCGTCAAACAGCGAGGCTGTGCCAGCGTCAAACAGCGAGGCTGTGCCGGCGTCAAACAGCGAGGCTGTGCCAGCCTCACACAGCGAGGCTGTGCCGGCGTCAAACAGCGAGGCTGTGCCTGCCTCACACAGCGAGGCTGTGCCAGCGTCAAACAGCGAGGCTGTGCCAGCGTCAAACAGCGAGGCTGTGCCAGCGTCAAATAGCGAGGCTGTGCCAGCCTCACACAGCGAGGCTGTGCCAGCGTCAAACAGCGAGGCTGTGCCAGCGTCAAACAGCGAGGCTGTGCCAGCCTCACACAGCGAGGCTGTGCCGGCGTCAAACAGCGAGGCTGTGCCAGCGTCAAACAGCGAGGCTGTGCCAGCCTCACACAGCGAGGCTGTGCCAGCGTTAAACAGCGAGGCTGTGCCAGCCTCACACAGCGAGGCTCTGCCAGCGTCAAACAGCGAGGCTGTGCCAGCGTCAAACAGCGAGGCTGTGCCGGCGTCAAACAGCGAGGCTGTGCCAGCCTCACACAGCGAGGCTGTGCCGGCGTCAAACAGCGAGGCTGTGCCTGCCTCACACAGCGAGGCTGTGCCAGCGTCAAACAGCGAGGCTGTGCCAGCGTCAAACAGCGAGGCTGTGCCAGCGTCAAATAGCGAGGCTGTGCCAGCCTCACACTGCAAGGCTGTGCCTGCGTCAAACAGCGAGGCTGTGCCAGCGTCAAACAGCGAGGCTGTGCCAGCGTCAAACAGCGAGGCTGTGCCAACCTCACACTGCAAGGCTGTGCCAGCCTCACACTGCGAGGCTGTGCCAGCCTCACACAGCGAGGTTGTGCCAGCCTCACTCAGCGAGGCTGTGCCAGCGTAAAACAGCGAGGCTGTGCCAGCCTCACACAGCGAGGCTGTGCCAGCGTCAAACAGCGAGGCTGTGCCAGCCTAACACAGCGAGGCTGTGCCAGCCTCACACTGCGAGGCTGTGCCAGCCTAACACAGCGAGGCTGTGCCAGCCTCACACTGCGAGGCTGTGCCAGCCTCACACAGCGAGGCTGTGCCAGCCTCACACAGCGAGGCTGTGCCAGCCTCACACAGCGAGGCTCTGCCAGCCTCACACAGCGAGGCTGTGCCAGCGTCAAACAGCGAGGCTGTGCCAGCGTCAAACAGCGAGGCTGTGCCAGCGTCAAACAGCGAGGCTGTGCCAGCCTCACACAGCGAGGCTGTGCCAGCGTCAAACAGCGAGGCTGTGCCAGCGTCAAACAGCGAGGCTGTGCCAGCGTCAAACACACTGAAAAAAAATTTCAGTATATCCAACAGACATAACATTTTTTCTTACTGAACCGTACAGTAGAATATCGTTAGCTGGGAATTCAAGTAGATTTTACGGAACGGCAATTCCGTAGACGCTACTACAAAATTGTTGTGGATGCTACTGGTCGCGTACAGTAAATGGGACTGCTGGCCAAAAGGAGTCGGGGGAGGGGGCGCACCCAGCCTCACCCCACCCCCAATCCCCTTCCCCTTCCACACTCGTCAATCCTAGCTTTCGACTTGGCTCGCTGCGACGAACTGCGACGGCCACGACTCGGAGTTGAACCCGGGCCGCCCGATCACAGAGCCATGACTGTACCACTCAGTCATGCCTGCGCGTTGGAGGCAGTGCATCCGGAGATGGTACACAAGCACGTCTGTGTCGGTGCGGCCCGGACAAAAGCGCGCCAGTGCGTCTCCAAAGGAGCGAGGGAGGGGGTAGCGCGCGGGTGGAGCCGAGGGCTCCGGCGGGGGTGAGGAGGTGTAGGGTGGGGGGCCCGACGACTAAGGTGCAGTAGCATCCACCGGACTGAAGTAGCATTTACT